AAAAAAAAAAAAAACAAACAAACAATTCAAACATTTAAATAAAAAGTATGTAAAAAATGAGAATGTATCTATTGAGATAATTAATTGGTATTATCTAAGAGGTAGATAGATGAAGTATCAAAAGAGAGGGAAATGCTATGGTCCCGTTACGATACCATCTCGTCGGATGTTTTAACCGTTGGATACACATGCAGTTAGTATAAGATAAATGATCTAACGGTTAAAACATCCGACAGAATAACGTAGCGAGACCATAACATTTCCTCAAAAGCGAATACGGTTTTGTAGTTCAAAAAGCAATTCAAACTTGCAATATTCACATGTTGTGGCTTGCACGTCTTTTTCTTATCAAGACATCGACCGTTTCTTAAGGCATATACCCAAAATTATTTGGACAATCTTTACAACTGAAAACACAACAGAAAATCGACCCATTTTTTCTCATTAGATTTTCTAACCTTTGACCCATTATTCTCATCAAATGTCTAATCTTGAATCTTGATTGCTGCTTAAATTCCGTAACTAATTTAGGGACTATTTATAAATTTTCTAATATAAATTTTCAATAGGGATCAACATAACAAAACAAATTCTTGAGTCCGCCTAGTTGTTAGACGGGCCGGTCCATCATATTTTTATAATAGAAATACATATAGATTTTATAAATATCATACAGTTGTGAACAGTCATTATAGAGTTCGGCATTTTAATTTAAAATTATGCATCTTTGTTAAAAATGTATGACTGTTCAATCGATAGGCGTCTGCTTAACCCTAACACGATTGTCACTAATAATATTCACAAACTTATATATAGAGGCGTATGAGTCGAGCTCGAGCCCGAGCCTTTATTAGTTTATCGAGTTGAGTCAAGCTCAGGTTACTAACAAAATGAGTTGATAAGTGCATGCTAGGATACAAATCTATACTAATATAAAAAGGTTGTTGGAAAAATACATAAATAGTAACTTTGAGTTTTTAATTAAATGTTTAACTTACTATTATAAGAATGATTTTAAAAACACATGAAATTAGGAAAAAGAGAAGCAACAATTTCATATACTGTTTTTTTTTTAAGGAAAAAACGGGTGCATATTTTAAAAATTGATGTTACTTTATAAAAAAATTGACCTTTATTTTACATCGCAAAATATCATTTCAATATTCACCTTAAGTTAATGCGAATATGAAAAAATATTATCAAATATATTTATTTATTACTTAATGAGAAATGTTAATTTATAACATTAATAAATGTACTTTGACTTTTTAATTAAATGTTTGACTTACTATTATGAGAAAATTTTTAAAAACACATGAAATTAGGAAAAAGAGGAGCAAAACAATTTTCATATACTTTTTTTTTTTAGGAAAAAACGGGTGCATATTTTAAAAATTGATGTTACCTTATAGAAAATTTGACATTTATTTTACATGGTAATATATCATTCCAATATTCACCATAAGTTAATGCCAATATGAAAAAATATTATCAAATATACTTATCTATTACTTAATGATAAATTTTAATTTATAAATATTAATAAATATTTCTTACCCGTGCATTGCACGAGATTCGTACTAGTTTTTCTAAAATAATTCAATACTTTTTAATAGATAACTATTTTTTAACTCAAATTTGACCCAATTACAGCATCCACAATATTATTAATATAATTAAATAATATCATTTAATTATTACATCTATTTTAATTCACTATTTAACCGCTCACAAAATTTAAATAAGCATCACTTCACTTCATCTCTCTCCTACTTTTACATCAAATCAACTTTAATTATTTTATTTAAATATTAATTTAATATAAAATTTATTTTAAATATTATTTTAATATAAAATTAAAATGTATCTAAACATCTCCTAAGCGAACTTAATCTCTGTTTATTTATCAATATTAACAAGCTCACAAGAAATATAAAAGATTATATAGAAAAACTATGGAGTATTAATTAAAAGAATTAATTTAACATTAGTAAATTAAACGGTTGTTATTAATTAATTATTATTTCTAAAGAAATGGCACGACATTTTATGACATTCAATTTTATTTAAAAAAAAATAAAAATAAATCATCTTAGTCAAACAATAAAAGACAAAATAAATAATACTAGAAAATTCCATGAGAAGCTAAAGCTTTACCTTGCCGGCAGCCCAAGCCGTCGCGGAACCCATCGCCGGTAAACCCTTCCAAACACTCGCACCTGTACGCCGCCCCACTCCCCTCCTCCGGCGGCGACACGTGGACGCACCTCGCGTGCTCCGAGCACCGGCAGCCACCGCGCAGCCACCACCCGACCCTCACCACCTCCACGTCCAGCGACACCGCCGAGTCGTTCGCCAGCGCACCCATCGAGATCGCGGAGAACAGCCACCGGCAACCGCTACTGGCCATCCTCCGGTAGTCCATGAACGCCGTCCGGTTCGGCGGGTCCGCGTAGCAGGAGACGGCGGGACCGTCGCAGTCCGCCAGCTCGAAGTGCGTCTGCACCGCCGTCCGCGGCATGAAGCAATCGGCGCCGGTGGTCCGGTTCCGGCACTCGCGGAGGAGGATCGCGTTTGTCGCCGTCGGGGCAAAGTTTTCGGTGAAGAGGCTGCGGAGCGCCTCGACGGGGCGGCGGCAGGCCGCCCGGAGGCCGAGCGATAGGGTGTCGCCGTTGATTGACTGGACGGGGAGGCCGGCGGCGAGGACGGCGCCGCCGGGGGCGCAGTCGAGGCGGATCGGGCAGGCGGCGGAGAAGCCGAAGGGGAAGGGGACGGTGCGGCCGTCGCACGTATGGTTGCACCGGTCGGCGGCGGAGGCGGCGGGGAAAGGGACGATGATGATTATTATTCTTAGTAATATTACTGCGACCAAAGAAAGACGGTAATTATGGAGGAAATTGATTTTCATTTTGAGAAAAATGGATGGATTAAGGGCAAAATTAGGCATTTATTGCAACTTTTGCAAAGGGAAAATTAAACAATGGAAAAAAAAAAAAAAA